TCAGTCTGCCAGCCTCCTGAGTCACAGTGTTCCAAGGATAACCAGTTGCTCTCTAGCCTCAGAGCACATCAAGCTTCTGGACTCTCCCTCCGCCATCATGGGCCAGGCCTTCCTCTCTGCTCTTCTGTATGTAGTTTGTTTTCTTCAGTGAATCTCCTTTGCTTTCTTGGTTTACTCCTTTGCTTGGAGACTTTCTCCCAGGGACTTCCCAAGGGTACTGTGTGGGATGGAGGTGACGTTTTGGGGATGCTCCAGGCATGAAGATATCTTTGCTTCGCCCTCACACTTGCCTGACAGGTGTAGTGTTACTGTTTCTCACTCCCACCCCCCCCTCCTCCATTTTGTTAGCAAACCCTGTCCTGTGGCCTCGTGGGTCAATCACAGGCAGGGGTCCCGCTGGGCCCTGAGACGTCCACGCTGCGCAGGATGTGGAGAAGCCCTGCTCCTCTAAGTCCCACAGGAAACGACTCCAGCCAGCAGGGCAGTGATGAGGGCACTAGTCACCGGCCTAACTCCATTTTGTCTCTCTCTGCCTCTTTAATATTTTTTTTTTCTCCTAAGTCCTCTCCCCTCACCCCCATCACAGTCACCTTGGGACTCCAGGCAGGGTTAATGACTAAACATCTTGTGACAAGAGCCGAAACTGCTCTCAGACAATAATGCCCTTTTTCTTATCATGGACCCTACCACCCTGGGATAAGGGACTGGACTACATCTTTGACTGGGGCTGCCTAATTTGGCATATCTCTACCCCCACCCCAACTCCCAGTTCTCCTCTACTTAAACCTAAAGTTCGTGTCAGTTCCCCAGACACGATCTCGGGGCCATTTAGCTGTCTTCCTGACACAGTTGTGTTTAATTAAATCTCTTTTCTCTGCTTGCTCTCTGCTCTCTCTCTAGGGTTTGAACTCAGAGTTTTGCATTGCTAGGCAGGCGTTCTACATTTTTGGAGCTAGGGTCTCACTCTTTGCCCAGGCTGGCTGTACTGTGACCCTCCGTTTTAAGCTTTCTTCTGTTGCTGGAAAGACAAGCATGTACCACCAACTACTGGTTGAGATGGAGCCTTTGAACTTTTTTTACCCTGACTGGCCTTGAGCTGCAATCCTTCTGATCTCAGCCTCCCAAGTAGTTAGGAGACATTGGTGCCCGGCTCATTAATCACCTCTTTGTCATATCGGAGATGGGGCCTTTAGCTTGAGAAACTCCTGTCACAGAGTCATCTCAGAGCCAGGCAGTGGGCTCTGGGGCAAGGAGAGCTCGTCAGCACCCCTCTGGGTCCTACAGCTCCTCTGCAACTGGAGCATCACAGGAAGGTCTCAGGAGCCCCCACTGTAAACACCTGTCATGTCCCTCAGTCTAGGTTGGCTTCGGGTCACCTGCTCTTGGAAGAAATCCACATGACTTCAGAACCACTGGGCATGCCTGAACCTTGGGCAGCCTTTTCTTTTGGATGCTGCTGCTGTTATGAAATTTAAAACTTGTATGTTTTGTGGTGCTGCGGATGAAACCCAGGGCTGTGTGCATGCTAAGCAAACACTCTGCCACTGAGCCCCATCCCCAGCCCTGAACCTTTTTCTCGTTATATTTTCTTCAGATCTATATTCTCCTTTTTATTTCTCCTTCTGTTATAAGCATTTTCCATAGCTACCCAATCTCTATGAAAATGTCATTTTTATTTTTATTTTTTTTTTCATTTTTCTTTTATTATTCATATGTGCATACAAGGCTTGGTTCATTTCTCCCCCCTGCCCCCACCCCCTCCCTTACCACCCACTCCACCCCCTCCCGCTCCCCCCCCTCAATACCCAGCAGAAACTATTTTGCCCTTATTTCTAATTTTGTTGTAGAGAGAGTATAAGCAATAATAGGAAGGAACAAGGGGTTTTGCTGGTTGAGATAAGGATAGCTATACAGGGCATTGACTCACATTGATTTCCTGTGCGTGGGTGTTACCTTCTAGGTTAATTCTTTTTGATCTAACCTTTTCTCTAGTTCCTGGTCCCCTTTTCCTATTGGCCTCAGTTGCTTTAAGGTATCTGCTTTAGTTTCTCTGCGTTGAGGGCAACAAATGCTAGCTAGTTTTTAGGTGTCTTACCTATCCTCACCCCTCCCTTGTGTGCTCTCGCTTTTATCATGTGCTCAAAGTCCAATCCCCTTGTTGTGTTTGCCCTTGATCTAATGTCTGAAAATGTCATTTTTATAAATTCTATTCAGAAGAGACAGTTGCCATTGTTTTGTTTTGCTTGCGACAGGGAAGATCTCACGGCGTAGCCCAGGCTGGCCTTTAACTCGAAATCCTCCTGCCTGGGCCTCCTAAGTAGTTATGCAACACCTCGCCCAGCTGGTTTATTTTTGCAAATATAAATAAACTGGTCACTAATGTCTTTGGTCAAATTGCCTTTTCTGTATTTAGGATTAGACAGACTTCCAGCGACAGAATCACTGCATTAAAGGGAATGACCACCTTGAAACAAAAGTGGAAAAAACCACTTTTAAAAAAGGGAAGGACTACTTTTAAAAATGCACACCAAACCGGGTGGGGTGGCTGGCATCTGTAATCCCAGCTCTCCAGAGGCTGAGGCAGGAGGATGGCCAGTGTGGGCCACATAGCAAGACCTTGACTAACCAAAGGGCCAGTTCCATACCCACCAGCTGACCCATTTCCCCATGGCCTTGGCTGACTGCATTCATCCTGCTCTGGTAACCCCATATGGGACAGCTGGCATCTCCCAGTGGCAGCTTTGATTTGCATTTATTTAATTACTGAGGCTGAACATTTCTCGGCAAGTCTATTAACCAAATTAGTTTCCTCTCTGATGATTTGTCCGTGTCCTTCACACATTTCTTTAGCATTCAGTGCTTTTCTGACCGATTCCTTGAAAACTTTGGGCAATAATAGTATCGTTATTTGGCCATACTTCCTGCAAATGTTTTTCCTGTTGTTTGCTTTTTTATTTGTAAGCCATGTTGCATGCAAGTGTGTTTAGCTTAATGGAAAAGTTCCTTCGTTCCTTCCTTTTCTTTTTCTTTTTTTAGGCAGGGCTCACTATGTAGCCCAGGCTGGTCTGGAACTCAGGATCCTCCTGCCTCAGCCTTACCCCCATCCCACGGCTGGGATTACAGGCACATACCACCATGCAGAGCTTCTCAGCTTTTTCCTTTTGTGATGTCTGCGGTGACTTCTTTTTTTTAAGTCCCTTGTATAAAATGACATAGTGTTTGCATATAACTCACCCACATTTTGCTGTGACCTCTCACGTTAACACTGCCCCTTCCAGAGTCCACTTCTAATTGTTAGGAGAGGTTTGTTTGGTGGATGGTGTGTGGAAGACACCTAGCTCTCTGCTCTTGCCCAGCCTCACCCTGCAGGTTCCAGCCAAAGGCTCCAGCCTGGTGAGGCCCAGGGTGTCTGGCTCTCTGATCACTGAGGGACCCTGCCTGTTGCTCAGGAGTGCAGCTTTTCCTGGCATCCGCCTGTCTGTGATCCTGACTTACGTTGTTCACCTAACTTGAAGGCAGAGTGGCCCTTAGAAGAACTGGCCGTTAGTGTCAAAGGGAACGAAACTGCCTCCCAGAAGGCAGATGGGGCAGGCTGATCCTTGGGTGCCTGGGGCAGTGTGGTTACAGGGTCACTTAGAAACACTTTCCATCGTTTATAATTAGACCATTTCCTCCCTTAAATGACGCCTGGCCATCTCCTCTTCACTGCAGGGGAACTGCAGTCTTTTGTTCGCTTGTTTCCCATTCCTAAAACTATTGGCCACCCATGTGCCCCAAAGTGTTTGAATGAACGAATGAATGGACGAACGCATTCCTAAAGCCACCAGGGGCGCCCTGTGCCTGCACAGCCCCGGGGACCCCGGGGTCCCCAGGGACAGGAGAGACGGCGGCCAGCACCCGGGGAAGCCCGGCCTGGGGGCGACGCCACGGGTCGCAGGAGGCTGGGAAGGGAAAGGAAGGGAGGCTCTGGAGATGCGGGGCCTTGCGGGATCCGGGAAGGAGGCGAGGCGGCCACCAGGGGGCAGCACCCGCTCCACCGCGCCGGCAGGGAAACTGAGGCAGGGCTCGGCCTGCTGTCCAGCGCCCACCCGGGTCCCGCCGAGCTCAGCGGAACCGAGACTAGCGCCCAGTCCCGCGCCCTGACTCCGCAGCTCGGCGGCAGTGCCCGGAGGCCAAATCACTTCCTCCCCGCGCCGCTTCCGCCGCGGCCGCACGCCCGAGAGCCCGGCGGACGCGCCCAAGGCAGGGACGGGACGGCCACCCTGCCGGTCCCCCCGCCGCCTTCCCGGAACCAGCTTCCGCCCCGCCCGCCGGCTGGCGAGCAAGTGCAGCGCGGGACCGGGTCCTGCCGCCCTGGGCGGTCCAGGGATGGCGCCAGGTGGGCGCTTCTGGGCACCGGTTCCTGGGAGGCGCTCTGGGGGACGCTGGGTCCAGGTGGGTCCCCTCCCAGCCCATCCCTCCACCTGCTCTTTGTTTCACAAGCACGTCTGACCTTGGCTCTTCAGTGTCCGTCCTCTCATCAGACTACAAGGCCCAATCCAAGGGTGGTGAAGCCAGGCACACCGGTGCTTAATTAAGCATTAAATGACCAAATAAATGAAAGAAACGGAGGTCTACGAGTGGCCAGCTCATGTGGGGTCAGGCTCTGTTGAGGGGGGTCAGCCTTCTGGGGGGCATCTGTGGTCAGCTCACGGTAGGGAGATTCCAGGCTACAGGCGCCCCCTCCCGCAGGTGCATTGGAGCATCAGCACCCTGGGATTTGCCGGGTGAGGGGGTCTGACTTTAGGGTTCAGGGGGTTCAGGGCCAGGTCACAGAGAAGTCGGGGTTCTGGGGCACCTCCTTCCTGTTAGAGAGGAGCTGGGCAGGCCGGGCTGACAGGTTGGGCGGCATAGCCGAGTCCACACTCAGCTCCAGCATAAAACCCCACTTCATGGAGCCTGCACCTCGCTAGCGAGGAGCTCCCAGCCACCTCTGACCCCGGCTTGCCAGGCCTGAGAACATGCGGCACCAGCCCCTGACCCCCACTCTGCTGCTGCTACTGCTGCTGAGGTTCGGTGAGTCTGGGAATGGGCCGGGAGGGAAGTCCGCCATCTCCCTCGTGGGGGGAGGGGGCTCTGCCCTGCTTGGAGCGCCGATGGAGCCCCCACCAGCCTGGAAGGGCTTGGGGCTGCAGGACAGGCCTCCCCTTCCTGCCACAATGGTGAGGACTCCGTGGCAGGTGGGAAGGTTCCACACATTCCACCTGAGGGGCCTAAAATGGGAAGGCAAGATGGGGGCATGGGTACAGGGCTGAGAGGCTCTCTAGGCAGTACCCTGGCAGTGGCCTCTCCCGACCTTTCTCAGGACTCTGTACTATGCTGGGGCTCCTTGCCTCCTCTCCTGGTGGCCTCTCTCCCTGTTTCCCAGATGAGGACATAGAGCCTCCGTGTGTGCAGGATTTGAACTCTGGCCTGCTGGGTTTCAAATACTAGGCCACGCGATGATCAGCTGAGCTAGGGAAGGGAACAGTGCTTGTTCTGCCACCTGAACCTGAAAGCCCCAGAGGCTCCAGAGAGATGGGGGCAAGGGGTGCAGGTTGCAGAGGATCCCATCTCCTGACAACAGAGGATCAAGTTATCTGCCAATCCTGGACCTGGGTCAGCAGGTTCCAGCCAGGGGCCCCACCTGCCAAGCCTCTCCCTCTCTATGAGGCGGGCCCTTCTTTGCCAGGGAAACTCTCCTACATTCCTGGGCGAGCGGGGCCAGCCCAGCAGCCACCACACTTCCCTGTCCTCAAGTCACCTCCCAGGGCCAGACTGGGTCACTCCGGACCATGGGCCAGCCAGGGCTCCAGGCTTCCTCATTCTCATTGTCGGAGGGCACCAGGGGACACCTCTGTGGGGAGACCCCAACTTCTCCCAGCTGGCCTCCCCTTTCTGGCCTCCTGTGACTGGAAAGGATAACAGCGTTCTTTGAGAGTTCATTTCCATAGAGGTGGAACACTGTGATTGCTCCAGTGGGTGGAGCAATTGAGGTCATTGCCAAAGTGGAAACAGCAGCTAGCATTTGGCTCAGAAACACCTGTAAGGCTGGATCTCTGGAAGACAAGCTCACACCAGCCTGGGGTGGCCAGCACCCTACCAGGCCTCTGGCTGGCCCCACCTAGTACTTTAGGGCTCATCCACCATCAGTGGCAGCATCAGGGTGGGGGGCCTGACACTCCTGGCTGTCAGTGGTCATCCAGCCCCTGACAAGACACTCATCCTGAAGAGCCCAGCTCTCCTGGGCAGCATCCACAAACAATTCTGCCCTTCCACACATTCCCTGAGCTCAGGTCCCCAGAGGCAGACTCGACTTTCATGGAGCTCCTGGGCCTATAGGTAAGAAGAGATGACCAGCAGAAGGACAGAGCTTCAGAGTGTGAAAGAGGCTCCTTCTTTCTTTTTCTTTTCTTTTTTTTTTTTTTTTGCAGTACTGGGGTTTGAACTCAGGGCCTACACCTTTAGCCACTCCACCAGCCCTTTTTTGTAATGGCTTTTTTTGAGATAGGGGGGTTTGAACTCAGGGCCTACACCTTTAGCCACTCCACCAGCCCTTTTTTGTAATGGCTTTTTTTGAGATAGGGTCTTGCTAACCATTTGCCTGGCTGGTTTTGAACCATTATCCTCCTGATCTTGGTCTCCTGAGTAGCTAGGATTACATGCTTGAGCCATAGGTGCCCGGCTGTGGAGGAGGCTAATAGGAAGGGCAAGGACTGAGAGGGTTAGAAATCTATCAAATGGAAAGATACCAAGATGAGGGAGGACCCTTCCAGGGACATCTATGCTACTCTGCTCCCCACCCTCCCATATACTGGGGATTGAATCCAGGGCCTCTCTCAATCGTGCTAGGGATTACTACTTAAGCCCCGCCCCAGTCTTTTGTTTGTGTCTTATTTCTGAGATAGGGTTTTGTTAATTTTACCCAGGCTAGCCAGCCTCCGCCTCCAGAGTAGCTGGGATTATAGGCCTTCAGCCAGCACACCCAGCTACACATTTGCATTGTAACAGAGAACCTGGTGAACACAAGTTAGTGAGCAGGAAGTTCTTGGCACACTTCCTGTTTTGCACTGTGCACCTGGGCTGACATCACACTTGCTTTGGACTTTTGCTTGGCACTCCCACTTTGAGAAGCCATCAGTCCTACCCTCAGCCTCAGCCCCATCTGGTGCTCTATCCACAGCTGCTCCTCTGTCATTGTCCACTCCCATGCTGGGAATCCTGTCCCCCAGTGGCACTGAGGACTGTACAGACTGGGACCCTGACAGGAACACACTGTGAGAAAGCCCCAGACTGCTGACATGGGGAGACAGCTCCTGGGGCCTCTGTCACCCAGCTCTCAGCTGCTGGGCAGTGGGCAGACCCCACAGCTCCAAGGCTAGATGCCTCCCCCCCCCTCCCCCCGCAAAGCATCCAAACAAGGACAGGGGTGTGGTGTGGAAGGTGAGACCACTGTGAGGACTAAAAGGGAGCTATCCTACTCCAAGCGGGGGAACTCAAGTAATGGGGCACCACACTTGTGATCTCTAAGGCAGGCAGGAGGCGGGGGAAGGGGTGCTCTGGTCTGGCAGGTAGGTGAGGGAAGGAACAGATCTTGGCTTTAGCAGTTGCCTGATGACCTCTGTTTTTTGGGGTTTTTTTTTGTTTTTTGTTTTTGCGGTGCTGGGATTTGAACTCAGGGCCTACACCTTGAGGCACTCCACCAGCCTTTTTGTGTATGTGATGGGTTTTTTCAAGGTAGGGTCTTGTGAACTATTTGCCCAGCTGGCTTTGAACCATGATCCTCCTGATCTCTGTCTCCTGAGTAGCTGGGATTACAGGTATGCACAATCATGTCCAGCCTCTGATAACTCCTTTTTCTTACTTCTAGGGGCTCGAGGGGCCAAAGCACCAAGAGGTAAGCAGGCTTGACTGTGCTGGGGACAGGCTGGGGACACCCCCCCCCATACACACATGCACACATATGCAACAAGACCAGAAGGAATGCACAGAGCACCAGGGAATCCCAAAGTTGGGATGAGTGTGGCTTAGTGGAACCGGAGCCCAGAAAGAAGTGGAAGAGTCTACCACACCGCCAGCAAGATAGGCAAAGTGGAAGCATCAAAGCATGAAGCATGGGAACACCCTGTTAGAGAACTGCCAGGACACAGCTGAAACTCCCCATTCTGGGTTACCTACAGCTGTCCTGCCAGGAGCCCTGTGGTCAGGCTTTTCCCATGAGTTACCATGACCCCCCCCCCATGACCCAGAGAGGCAGGTTTTGTCCCCCTGTTCCAGTGAGGGGACTGAGGCTCATAGGGCCAGGCCAATCTATGCCTGGGCCTCTGATTTCTATGCCTGAGTGAGTCAGGGGCCAGGAAGGGCAGGGATGAGCAGAAAGTAGAAGCTGCCGTGTGAGATTGGGGTTGGAGTCGGAGCCACGCAACTGACCCGCGGTGAGCCTCTCTGTGCTTCCCCAGCCTGTGGGCGCCCAAGGATGCTCAACCGGATGGTAGGCGGGCAGAATGCTCTGGAGGGTGAGTGGCCCTGGCAGGTCAGCATCCAGCGTAATGGAAGCCACTTCTGTGGAGGCAGCCTCATCACGGAGCAGTGGGTTCTCACTGCAGCGCACTGCTTCACCAAGTGAGTGGGCCTGGGCTCCCGTGCCCCCACCCTGGGGGGGGCGGTGACAAGACTGAGTTGCTTCAGCACCACGGACAGCGAACACAGCAGCTCCTGGGCCTCTACACAGATGCCTACTTCCTGGCAACTTTGTTGTGGCCAGACGCTTCCTTTAGTTCCTTCCCCAGGCTTAACTTCTAGGTCCCACCAGCTGACCTGCCACTGAAGCACTGTCACCCAGCCAGAGTCCTGTCCCTCCAAATGCTAGCGATCACCCCTCCACACACACCATGCGCTATCCCGTCTCCCCACCCTCCCCACCTCAAATCCGGAGTAGAGAAGGTCTCCCTCTTCCTCACCCCATCTAAGGTCACCTATATGATCCCCAAGCAAGGGGCTGGCCCCCCTGTACACACACTGTTATGAACCACATGGCCTCAGACCTCCAGGGTCCCCAAGCATCTCACCTCTTTCCTCACTGCAGCCCTGCAGTTCTTTTAGAAGCTCTGAGTGTAGGTGGCCTGCCCAACAGAGCTGGCTCCCACGGTACCCTGTGGGTGGTCATCTCCTCAGCACTCACAGTAGGCCTTTCAGGTAGGACTGTTACTGTCCCGGAGAACAGCAGCTCTGTCTTCACCCTCTACATCCTTAACCTTGCTGGACATCTTCTGGAGATTTTTTTTTTTTTCCTTCCAGTACTGGGGTTTGAAATTAGGGCCTCACGTTTGCTAGGCAGGTGCTCTACCAATTGAGCCACACCTCAATCACCTAGATTGAAGTCACCTAGAGATGACTTTTTTTGAAGATACGGTACAAAGAGAGGTGTCAGACACTAGTGGGCCAAAGGAACAATCCAACTGCTGGGAGTCCCCTGCTCCATGGGAGTGGGCTGTCCATACCAGCTCTCTCTCTCTTCCATCAGCCTCTCAGAAACATCCCTGTATCGAGTCCTGCTGGGGGCACGGCAGCTGCTACAGCCGGGCCCACACGCCATCTATGTCCGCGTGAAGTGGGTGGAGAGCAATCCCCTATACCAGGGCATGGCCTCCAGTGCTGATGTGGCCTTGGTGGAGCTAGAGGCACCAGTGACCTTCACCAACTACATCCTCCCCGTGTGTGTGCCTGACCCCTCCGTCATCTTTGAGACAGGCATGAATTGCTGGGTTACTGGCTGGGGTAGCCCCAGTGAGCAAGGTAAGGGGACAGAGCCAGGGGAGAAAGAGGGACACGCCTCAAGAATGTCCAGGGCGTATTTGGCACCCCAGAGACTGAGGCAGGAGAACTGAGTATGAGGTTAGCTTGGGCTACAAAGCAAAACCCTATCTTTTTTTTTTTTTTTTAATGTGACTGGGGTTTGAACTCAGGATTTCACATTTGCAGAGCAGGCACTCTACCACTTGAGCCACACCTCCAGTCCATTTTGCTCTAGTTATTTTGGAGATGGGGTCTGGAGGACTAGTTGCCTGAGTGGGCTGGCCTGGAATGGAGATCCTCCTGATCTTGGCCTCCTAAGTAGCTATGATTTTACAGGCCACCTGCACCCAGAGCAAAACACTATCTTAGAAAAACAAAAACAGGTCAAAACCCTGAGTGCTCTGGGTTCAATCCCTATATTGCAGCAAAATAAATAAATAAATAAAAATTGCTCAAGGTGGTGGTGCATGCCTGTAATTCCAGCTACTTGGGAGGTGGTGGCAGGAGAAGCTCAAGTTCCAGGCCAATCCAGGCAAAGTTAGCAAAACCCTATCTCAAAAACAAAATTAAAATATCCCCAAAGATCTGGAAGGTGTAGCTCAAGAGGTACAGCACATAAGCATGAAGTCCTGGGTTCTAGTCTCAGTACCACAAAAACAAAGACAAATAAATAACACATGATTTTTATTCAAAACGGGAAGGGTGGAAAGGAGCAGCTGCCCTAGAAGGAAGAGGTATAGAGTTGTGGAGAGAGAGCAAGACAGAAAACCCAGTCTTGTAGTCAAAGAAGGAATGCAGGAGAGGAAGTCTAAACACAGAAGAAATCCGGGGAGGGACAAACAGAAGAACCCAGGGCCACAGGGTCCTGCTTAAGCCTGTCCACTAAGCTGCAGGCTGCCTCCCCCGCCCCCCAGACCGGCTGCCCAACCCGCGGATCCTCCAGAAACTCGCTGTGCCCATCATTGACACGCCCAAGTGCAACCTGCTCTACAGCAAAGATGCTGAGTCTGACTTCCAGCTCAAAACCATAAAGGACGACATGCTCTGTGCGGGCTTTGCCGAGGGCAAGAAGGATGCTTGCAAGGTAAAGTGGTGCAGCAGCCGAGGGGGCTCCGTCCTGACCTCTAGGCCCAGCGAACGTGGGCTGTGTCCCGACGGCTGGAGGCTTGATTCGAAAACGCCCCTTCGTGCACCCTACCCTAGGAATCTGCCCTTGGGTCTGGGGTAGGGCCCAGGAAGCTGCACTTTTTATTACCCCACTGGGTGAACAGGCAGGCGACCTGGGAACCCTAGTCGGAGCCACGGAAAGGGGCGAGGAGCCGGAGTGCCAAGCATAACTGGTCTTGGGCCTCAGGGTCCAGTACTGGGCTCTAATCGGATCTTTGCTTCCCCTACAGGGAGACTCAGGGGGACCCCTAGTGTGCCTCGTGGACCAGTCGTGGGTGCAGGCAGGGGTGATCAGCTGGGGCGAAGGCTGTGCCCGCCGCAACCGCCCGGGTGTCTACATCCGGGTCACTTCCCACCACAACTGGATTCACCAGATCATCCCCGAACTACAGTTCCAGGGAAGGACGGGCAGCCAGCAGCGAGACCCCAAGGGCCAGCTGCGCCTTGGTGGGAACTCGGCCCCCTGCCTGGCCGCCCATGCGCTCCTGCTGGTCCTCGTAGCCATGCTCACCACCCTCTAAGCCTGCCCAGGCTGGGCCAGGTGGAGCCCCTTCCACACTATACATTTGTAAATAGTTCCCCATTTCCCCCTGAAATGCCCATTATTTTTATTTATGTTCATCTTCAATAAAAAGTGCAGGATGCCCAAGTGGGAATCCTTGGGGTGGGGGTGGGGGTGAGGGCACGTGGCTCTAGAGGTGGAGGAACTGAAAGATTTGGAAGGTTTGGTCCCTGACCAGATGGGACTATGGCCGGCACACCCAAGCTAGGATATCACTGTGTCCCAGGGCTGCAGTGTCCCCTGTGATGGACCTCCTCACAGGAGGCTGTCCTAGTGCCACCTGGTGCCTCTCTCACCTGACCTTGAGTGCTAAAGGCTGCCCAGGGCTGGCATTGTGGACAGCTACAGTCACAGATAAAAAGTCAGTCATAGGACACCAGTGCCCCCAGCAGGAGCTATACACAAGGTGTGAGAGAAGAGGGTCCCCAAGAAAGGAGGAGGGGCACGCTGGGGGGACCACAGCCTCCTTTCCCAAGCCCTCTGTCCGGCACCACCCTGATTCTGTAACATTGTGACAACTTGGAAAGCACCCAGGCCCTGTGCTTTCCTACAACTTTAGAGGACCACTCTGCTGCTTCTGGTGTCATTAGATCACTCAGGGACAACCTGTGCCACATGCTCTCCCCTTGACACCTGTGGCTTCTTTTCCACCATCTTGACCTTAGCCTCGATCTCCCCACCCAGGGTCTGGACATGCACATAGGTTTGTATACCTACATCCACACATATCCAGCCCCCACCCACGTGCTCACAGACACTGAAGGCCCAACCTATTTAGGGAATCGAGCACACACCTACTGTGGACCAGCCTGGACACGGCAGGGAACAAAACACAGGGAATCCCTTCTGGGCTCCACTCCCCACTGGCCACTTGGCTGCCTTCTCTAGACCAAGGCTGAGTGGTCCAGGAGGGGCTACTCATCTTGTCCTATGGAGGGTACACTGGAGTCCAGGCAAGGAGGTGGATTGAGCTGTGTGTAGGGGGGGTCCCAAGGACAGCCCCAAGGACAAGGTCTGAGCCATCATGGCTGACAGGTGCTGGTGTGGGATCCACAGCCTTGGAGAAGCCTCGGTGACCCCATGCCTCCGGTGGGTTGTGTAGAGTCTGCCCAGCATAGGGCAGGGAAGACTGGGGGGAAGGGATGCAGTGTGCCCCATCTGTGCTCCTGGGACTTGATGTCCCAACTTTCCTCAAGGAACACAGCCCAGCCAACCCAGAGAAGACACTTCTCAGGCAGACGTCCACAGGAGATAAGGAAAAGCTCTTCATAGATCAGAGGTAGAAAAAGGAAGGTTTCCTTCATGCAACTCACAGCTCACCTTAAGCTTGGTGCTTTGATGATGTAGGAAGAGGAACGCCCCAGGTTGTTGAAGGCTCCCCATCACCCAGATGGGGGTGTGACTCAGGCATAACTGCACGTGCCACCAGGCAGTCAGTCTTCAGCCATCTGCCAGGTGGGTGGTGGCAATCACTAGCTGCAGCAAGAGTGCTGGAGTGAGACTCATAGACCAGGGCAGTCAAGGAGAGGTCCACAGTGAAAGGTCACCTGACCAGCCAGAGTGGCTGGTAATGCCAAAGCAAGACACAGACAGACACAGACACACACACACACACACACACACACACACACACACACACACACACACACACAACCTTGCATGCATTGTGATGGTCTGTGAAAGCCTGGGCTGGGACCCTTCTCAGTGAGGGGCAGCCTCACACTCAATAGACTGTTTGAGGGCAAAGTGACACTCCTGGATGCCACCATCTAACACTCAAATGCTCAGGTGGGGGTAAGTAGTGGGTATGTTGGAAAGGAAGGCAAGCGGGGCGGGGGGGGGGGGAGACAAGATTCCCACCTGTCCCTGACAGGTTTGTCTGTTTCTGTCCAAAGGTGTGGAGTGGCCCCGTTCCTGCTCACAGATGCAGACGGATGCTGCAGGGGCTGGCCAGGTCTTGGTCCCCGAAGTGGTACCCTGGAGGGTTGACCCTTTATCCCCTTGGATGGGTTCAGGGCCACCAGCACCCTGGAAAGTTCCAGGTATGGGTTCCACAAAATGCCCAGCAGCTGAGAACCCTCTTGGGGAACCACATACTCCAAACATCTGCCTCTCTACTGTCCCACCTGCTGACTTCCTGGAGCTACCAGGGCTGAAGACCCTGACACTGCCCCAAGAGTTCTTTACCCTCTCTAGACACCTCCATGGTAGAAAGACTGTGTCTGAGGGGTAGGGTTCCCTTCCAGTCAGGAGATCAGCAGTCCTGAGGGCCTGGAATGGATGCCCTGTATCCTTTCTAGCCGTCTGCTCAGAGGAGACATGCTCCAGGATGTAACCAGGGATATTGGCCATACTGAGGCTTCTCCCAAATGCCCCTGTCTCTGCCTGGCTGTGGGTTGCAAGTGCATCTGGGTTCTGTTCACAATCAGGGGGCCTCTCCAAACAGTCTGGATGCCTCCCCCATATACCCCAGGTCAAATGTGGAGCATGAAAAGCTTGGCTTCCTGGCCCCCAAGGCATCCCCACCCCACATCTCAACCTAGGCAGCAGAACAGCCCTTGCCAGGGCCCTGTGGCCACTAGCGTGGCTGGGCTGGCCCTACACCTGGACACAAGACAGGCTGGGGCTTGGGGCAGCAGAGACATTCTGGAACTATCCTGGTTGACTGAAAGGAGCCAGGCCTCTGGGCTGATGGGAATGGGGTTTGTTTCCCTGTCCTGCAGACCAGGACTTCTCCATGATTTTAAGCCACTAACAGGGAGGTCTCACAAGAAACTAAAAACATAGCTACCATATGACCCTGCTGTATCATTCCTGGGCACGTATCCAAAGTCAACATACAGTAAGACGCCTGTACACCCATGTTTATAGCAGCACTACTCACAATAGCCAAGTTATGAAAACAACAATGAATGGATAAAGAAAATGTGGTACATATACACAATGGAGTACTATTCAGCAATAAAGAATGAAATTAGGTTGCTTGCAGGGAAATGGACAGAAACGGAAATCATCGTGTTACAGGAGATAAGCCAAGCTTCAAAAGGCAAGGATTACATTTTCACTCCTATGTGGACTGTAGTCCTAACAATGATATGTCATGACTATAAAGGGACTGTCTGAGGGGGGGAACCTGTGGGGAGGGGGAAGGGAGATGATGGGGGTGTGTATGATCGAACAGCATTGTATATAGGTATGAAAATAGCATAATGAAACCACTAAAACTGTTAAAAAGGGGGAAGGGGGGAAGTTAAGAAAGAGCAATATAGACAGAGTGAATTTAACCACAGTACATTATAGCCATGTTGTAAATATTACAATGAAACACCTTTGTACAATTAATGTTAATAAAAAAATTTAAAAAAGACTAATAGTTGCTGGGCTCATTCATAAATACACAATTTTATTTGCTATTTTCAGGGGAAACTTAGGCATTAAACAGTAAGCTGATAAAATACGGATACCTAAAAAAGTATAAAAGTATAAATATCCCCTCAGAATAAATTTTAGTGATTTAAGTCTTAATATCTTTAAATTAAAAAAAAACACAAGCCTATCTATTTGTCAAGGTCATAAATCAAACAATGCTAAGCATCCAGCAGTCTCCAGAGAGCTTGTTCCCCACTGCCAACAGCAGGGCCACCCACTCCTGGGACTGTGCTGGGGAGGACAGAGGCTAAATCTGCCCCACAGGCTTTATAAACTGTTTAAGCCAGACATTCATCCACATACAAGAGATCGATCTTACGAAAGGAGGAGGTAAGTCTTAGATGCTGGAGAACTTGGTTAATCAGGTTACTGGCAAAGGAGAAGGAAGAGGGCCTAGGCAAGAAGTTTCCGGAAGCATTTGAAACGGACAGTGTCAGAGCCTCTGACCTGCATATGGGCAGCCCTGGTGGTCAGTTTGCACAGCTCCCTTGGGAAGCACAGAGCCTGCTGGCTCCAGTCAGGTCTGCAGACTGTCGTCTCCACAGCTGGCTGAGAAAGGCCTTTTGAAAGCCCAAGGGCACAGTCTGAAGGAGTCCCAGCAGCTTCACATCATGTCAGGTGGGTGAAGCCGGGGCAGGCTGTGCAAAGTCTCAAACGCCCCAGAAATATTAGAGAAGAACTGCATAGTTATACAAGGAAATGAGAGCCGGCGAGAAAGAGACGTGATGCGCTGTAAACATCCTGAATTTTCAACATGACCCAGAGTGTCAGCTCCAGAAGCCAGGTGGACAGGCTTCCCATTCCAGCCTCCAACCCAGGCGCGACAAAGGCACTGGTGGGCGCCAGCTCCCCCATGAGCCCTCGGGTAGGACGAGTGAGGCAAAACCTCTATCTCCCATTAAATGATTGAACAGATCAATCCAAAACGCAGCAACACTTTTAGGCATTTCTAAAGAGTATAAACATTGGGTGGTCTATCCACACTTAAAAAAAAAAAAAGGGATACAAAGTTCTCTCGCCTGGAAAATACAAATAGAGAAGCCTTGACTGTCCTGGCCTACGAGGGCAGAATGAAAGCCTGGCTCTGAAGGAGGCCAGGCCGTGGGTCAGGCCCTAGGAAAGTAGTGATGATGCAGAGGGCTCTTTTCTCAGAAGCCTCTGTTGAGGGCGAGAGAGACCACAAGCCAATCACACCTGGAGCCAAAGAGCCCCTGATCCAAGGACCAGGGCCTGGTGCTCAAAGGTGGCCAGCAGCATTCAGCCCCGAGCCACGGTGCACTGATAGTAGGCACAGCTGCTGCCCCTTCCTCTTGCCGAGGCCCAGACTGTGTATCGCAGACTATGTATGTAGCACCAAGAACCCTGTCCTTCAAATGTTCTTCAGGATTGCACCGGCTGGTCAGGAGCATCCCGCCTCAGTCCCACGTGGCACTCAGAAAGAACAGAGTGAGGCCCCCAGAGACAGCCCACCTGGCCCTGGCCTCCTCCCCGCGGGGACACTGGGCCTCAGACAGCTGGGCCGTCTCTCAC